TCAAAAGACATACTAATAGTCAACAGTTATTTTTTCTTAAAGTGCTCAGTACAAAAATCAACATTAAATGGATCAAAGATTTTTTTAAATGTGCTCAGTATCACTAATCATTAGAAAAATTCAAATCAAAACCACAATAAAATATCACCTTACCCCAGTAAGAATGTCTATTATTAAAAAGACAAAAAACAGTAGATATCATTGAGGATACAGAGAACAGGAAACTCTTATACACTGCTGGAAGGGATGTACACCTGTACAGGCACTATGGAAAACAGTATGGAGATTTTTCAAAAAACTAAAAATAGAACTATCATTTGATCCATCAATCTCACTACTGGAAATCTTCCCAAAGAAAAAGAGACCAATATATATGAAAGGGTTGCATGAACTTTCATGTTTATTTTACCACTATTCACAATAGCAAAAATATGGAATCAACCTAAGTGTTCATTAACGGGTGAATGAATAAAGAAAGTGTGATAAATATACACAATGAAATACTATTCATCCATAAAACAGAATGAAATCATGTTACTTGCAGCAATATGGATGAAACTAGAGGTTATTATCTTAAATGAAATAAACCAGACATAGAAAGACAGATACTACATGTTCTTACACATGTGTGGGAGCTAAAAATTTGATCACATGGAGGTAGAGGGTGGAAAGACAGATAACCGAGACTGGGAAGGGTGAGTAGGGGAAAGGAGGGATGATGGAGAAAAGTTGACTGGGGGTGAAAACAGTAAAATACAAGGGATAAATTTAGTGTTTGATAATTGAGTAGGGTGTCTATACTTAACAATGATGTATTGTACTTAGGTGATAGGATCACCCCTAAATAAATACTCTGGATCAACATGCACTATATACATGTAACAAAATTTCACATGTACCCCATAAATTTGTACAATTAAAAAAAAACAAACTCTTGTACATGGTAACAGTGCTGAGGGACTCTGATCCTGGTCTTGTTTGGGATAGGCATGGACCCTAAAGAGGGCAAGTCAAAAGTCAGAGAGGTTCAAGGAGCAGGTCCGAGAGGCCTAACCAGTGCTGAAGGTGTCTGTTCTTATCAGCTGTGCGCCTGGCAACTTTACACTACCATCACCATCTCAGTTTGGGCTTTCCTCCTTGTTCTGAGGGTCTGTTTTGGGACCTCCAAAACATACAAACTACACTGAAAATGCCCAAGGCCTGGAAGGAGTTCTGCAAATCTTGGGCCCTGCATAGTCACCCACACACGTGTCCCTGTCTTTCTCCCAAGAAACTCCCCTCACCAGGACCAGTTAACCTCTGCTGACTCTGAACCAGGTCCTGAACTTAAAGACAGTTTGAACGCTGATCCATATTGTACTTGAGAGACAGAAAAATATCATAGTTCCATATACTCATGACTCCTTCCCTTCTCCAAATTCATGTCATGAAAATAAAATGTGAATTTTTAAAAACATTTTCGCTTCTGATTTTTACTGTCATCATCCCAGTCTTCACTAAGTTAACTTTCCTCTTGTTTTTCTGATATTGCCTTACCATGTTTTCAGGTAATTATTAGAATCTCATCAGTAATAATTCAGATTTCTTTGTTTGGCATATAAGAAACTCTGCATACTGCATCTACTCCCCCTAACCTTGCTGTGTGATGACTTTATATTTTCCAACATAAACCCTTAGTTATTATAATTATTGCTGACAACCACAAAGGCCACACTGCTAACTTTCAACTTCATTTTATATGTTGATCACACTGTGTGGATTACCTTCTCTTACCACTTAATTTAAATCGCTTTTTCTTTCAATGTCTACTTTAAACACAATGCAATCCATGCTTCTTTGATAATACAGTCCATACTCATTGTTCTCACTAATTCATTCAACAAACATTTAACACCTACCATGTGCCTGCTGTATGCATAGTGCTAGGAATACAATGATACAACAAACCTTACTAGCAACAACGGTCTCGCAATTTAGCACAGAAACTAGGCTGGTAAAGTTGTAATGGAGAATGGCAAGTGCTTATTAAGGAGTAAGTATGGGAAACTATGGGAAAAGAGAAAAAGGCAGTCTTATTGGTTGGAGAGGGAAGAGATGCTTAGAGAAATCTTCCCAATGAAGATGATATCTGTCTTCTCAATTCCATACTTCCCTATTATTTGATACCTTTCACCATAATCTTTTTCTTCTTTTTTTTAGTACATTAAATTTCGACTTTTCCAATTCTATCCTCTGCCAAAAACTACACAGGTCTCCTCCATTATTAAACATATTTCATCCCACTTTTACTAATTCCTCAAGTCTTAGTTCAAGCCCCATTCTTGCCCCACATACATCACTGGACTACGACTACCCCCCACACATTAACTGGGCATAAATTCTATGCTACTTTGTACTGTTATTTAAGGTTTTTGTTTCATGTGTAGCTCATCTCCAGAGCTTAACTGAAAGGTCTTAAAAGCTCATGAAAGGCAGGGACCAAATCTTCCATGTCATTATTCCTTATGGCATACAGCATAGGCTAATTGTAAGTATTTATTTCAGGGTCTTATTTCAATATTTTAATATTTATTTTTATAAATTATACTTTAAGTGTTCATTCATTCAACAAATATTTTGATCATCTACTATGTGCAAAGTACTCTGCCAAAGAACCACTGGAAATATAGGATTGATAACAGTCATAGGCAGTAGAATCTCCAAAGTGCCACAAGAAGGATCACTCTCCCACTACAACAAGAAAAAATTATCCAGTCCAAAACATATATAGCACCAAAGATGTGAAACTTTGTTACTAGAGGATAAACTTCAACTAAAGATAAATGGAGGAAAATAACTGGTAGTGAGCTGTAAATATACATACTGTGGGTACTATTATGGAACAGATTGTAAATGCAGAAATGTAGACTATTACACAAATGTAGAAATCATATAATAAAAGTCAGGAGGGAAAGTGCAAGAGGAAATTATGATGGTAGTACAGGCAAACTGGTTTACACATCTTTAACAGTCATGCATTGATAGATAATAGTTTAACGTAATAAATCAAGCTATAGACTGGTATATTTTAACAGAATAAATGTTGACACTAAAACAATGCAATTAATTAAAATTAGTTGGTACAGAAGGCTGAAAACGAGGAAAAGAGAAAACATGCTAATTTTATTGTTTATAATAAGAAATAGATAAAGTTATAGCTATAAAATTGGCTCATTTTTACTTCCTAGCACTTATACAGTGTAATTTTATATTTACTTATATGAGTGATTGAAGACTATCTCTATCCCACCAGTGAGTAACTAACAAAGGGAACTGGCAGGGTCTATTTTTGTTCACTATTATATCTCTAATTCCTGTCACTGTGTTTAATAAATATATTCAATTCTCATTATTTGCAGTAGTTCTGTTCTATAAAGTCTCAGCAAACACTGAATTATCCATTACTGAACCATTGCTTCTAGGGGAAATATGCGGTTAGGCTCCTATGAACCTCTGGTCTCAAAATTTTCATCATCCAATCAATACATAATCCTGTTTTATATGTGTTTCTATTTAAAGACATCTTTATTAAATATATACATTTGACTCGTTAACATTGAACTTGTGACCAACAACACTGCATTCATGCCTGAAGAAAGCTTATCTAACACATAGTTGCTTAGGAGCACTAGACAGCACTTCAGCACTGTGCTTATGGCTCATTTTAAACAGTGGAATCACTTACAGAAAGCACACAAATTCAAGAAACATGGCACTAAATAGACAGGAAAAAAGGAAGCTTGTTTACAGTATGAGAGATAAAACAAGAAGGCAGAGGTAGTCTTGTTCCACCTCAGCTGGGAGCATGTGTGTTGTGTTACTCAAATTTTTCGGTGCTCTGTCAGTGTATATCCAAGTATGACTGGGAAAACATTATGAGCACTGATCTTCAGGTTACAAATAATTTTATTGTTTAGGTAAATTTGAACCCACTGAATCCACAATATGTACCAACAACTGTACTTGTAGAATTAAGTTGGATTTCATCATCTTATAACATTTATAAGTTATAGGTATTAGTGTGTTCACTGTGATTCTCAGCTGTGTAAGTCAAGGAATTTCTATAAAAAACACATAAATATTAATACACATATCTTATGAATACACATACCTGTCTGGATTTTCTTCTTTTGTAAAGATGGTTTAATGAATTTGGGAGGTAACGGTCTTCGGAGAAGTTGTGGGTGCTTTTGCATTTTAATGAATAATGAGCACTGCTTTTCATAATTCTTGGTTTATGTGAGAACTGAAAACTTTTGAATATGTTTGAATTGTTGCTGAAAGGTAATTTATTAGAATCTAGATTACATTTAATGAAAATCATTCTATGTTAATAATGTAATGAGTACAAGCAGAATTCCTTTATGAGAAAAAGAGTATGAAAATAATTCTTTAAAATGTCTAGAAAGTATCCAAATAAAATGCATGGTTATAATTAATACATAATTTAAAATATGAATACTATTACTAGCCAGATTCATTCTAAAATTCAATGTTAGTACAAAGTTCAATCTGCCAATGCTATTCCAACTAGTAAATACTGTCTTTTCACAACAGTAGAAGTGACAAAAAGACATCTTTTTACTCTATCACTATAAACTTAGAAAGAGTTTTTGGTTTTAAAAAAAAGATATAGAGGATCCCTCCATTACATTAACACTATGTCTACCATTCACAAATAAATTACTTTATTTCTATAATAATAACTTGTTTTAAATTTCAATCACTATACTTGCACCATAACTATTTAGTCCAAAAATAAGATGGACTTCACATTATATAATGAGATTTCTCAGGACTGCTGGGACTCCCAATTGGTACTGCTTAGAAATAATGGGAGAAGATGCATCCAAAAACCGTGTGATTAGTTTGCAGGGCAACATCAAAAGTGCCCGGCTCGCCATTATTCCGTTGACAGGCCAGAAAGGAACACTCTGGAGCCGTTCAAAAGGACCCTTTACCGCCAAAAGATAACTTTGCACCCAGGCACTCAAGGTTTGCTCCCCGGTAGGTAGTAGGTCCCACTCGATGCTGGTGATTTCCTTTCTGTCGTATCCGAAGAGATGCTTGGAAGCGGAGGACTCCTATACTGCCCTTTAGGACAAGTCAGTCGCTCCGCAAACCCACTGGTTTCTCGTCTTCCATTCCTCTCGGAATCCAGGGAGCGAGGTAAAAGTCCAGTGAGGTCGCAGGTCTTGGCCCACGATGCTGCTCCCAAAGAACCACCAGGTTACCCCCACGCCCTAGCAAGGTGCGGTCAGAGACCAAGGAGACACACCCCTAGCAACCGGAGGCCGATAAGCCCGCCCCGCCCGCGGGACGCGCAGGCGCTGGAGGTTGGGGCGGGGCGGCAGGGCGC